GCTGAACTAGGACACAGCCCGCATCCTGTCCTCCAGTGAGTAGGAGGGAGTGAGGGTCTGGGATACCCCTGTACAGGGGCTGCTGTGGGCAGTTGTCCCAGGAGAAAGAGATAAGGGAGAGACCATTTCAGGCCGACTAAAAGCCTCATCTCTGCCTTTGGATGTTTCCTTAAAGGCACCAAATGTGGCCACTGGGGAGGCTCGGGCACTGCCCCTCACCTCCCAGGCTCTGACCGGCTCTCACCGACTCTGCTTTCTCTAATTTCTCCAGTCCCGTGGGGCCCCACCGGGCTAGAGGGTGAAATTTCCAATATAAATTCATACAACTAAACTCAAGACAGAGAGTTAAAAATATTTAAAGCAATATAGAAACTACTAGGTCAGCGATGTGGATGTGCAGGAGAGCATTCTGCAAAGATGAGAATGTTCTGTGTCTGCATCATTAAACATGGCAGCTGCAGTCCACATGTGGCCACTCAGAATTTGAAATGCGGCAAGTGTGGCTGAATTTTTAATTTAATTTAAATGTAAATGATTTAAGTTGCCACTGGTGATGAGTTGCTACCATATTGGACAGTGTACTTTTTGGTCCGCACTATCTAATAGAAATACAATGTGAACCACATTTCTAATTTGTGTTTTCTAGGAGCACAGTTGAAAAAAAAAGGAAAAAGAAACAAGTGAAATTAATTTAAAAATCCATGTATATTAACCCAAATATTAAGAATATAATTTCAATGTAGACCCAATACAAACTGTATTAATGAGATATTTAAAATTTTTTTCATGCTATTTTTTATACAAAGTCTTCAAAACTTGGTGCCTGCTCTACACTTAGAGCACATCTCTCTTTGGACTGTTCACGTTTCTGGTGTTCAATAACCACATGTGACTAGTGGCTGCTACACTGGACAGGGCCAATTATTAAGTCGTGGATGAGAAATTGCAGCCCAGAAGGTGAAATAATTTCCTTCAACTTTATTTTTCCTACAAGAGCTTTCTGTCTTTGCTGCCCAAGTCTCCTCTGTGAAATATATAACTTCTGGCAATGAGAGAGGAAGGAGGATTTAAGTTTTTTTTTCCCCCTACCAACCTATTTCTGGATTTCTGTAGATAAACACTTAATACGATTCTCAAAATACAAGTTGTGAATTGGTGGGCTGATTGGGTTCCCAGAGATGGAAATGAAGAAGATGGTGATAGGAGGAAAGAAAGAAGAAACTGAGCTGATCTTTAGAAACCTGCGGTAGCCACAGGAAGGGCTCTGTGATTGGAAATAATGAAATAGACAGCACGAAGGGTGACCTTTCTCAGACTGGAGGCCCAGGCCCAACCGGCAGGGCTCTCGGGATGTTTACTAAAATGCAAACACCGGCAAGCCTGGCCGGAGGTTTGAAGTGGTACCCGGGGGTGGGGATCGGCCTGCTCAATTAACTTCCTAAACGATTATTGTACAGAAGTGTGAGTCCTTCAGCCAGATTTATGAAATTCCACAACTGGATCCTGTATTGTAAATTTGTAAAGGATCCTGTATTGTTTTAGAAAATTAAAAATGCTTTGGTCTTAGGCCATTGTTGGTCTCAATAGCGGGGCTCAACAAAAATAAAGAACTGACGAGTGTCAAAGGACGGGTTCAACACATTCTTGGCTCATTTACAAAAAGACTTCAGTTTGAAGGTGGAGGGAAAGCTCCCAGGGCAAAGGATTCCTTAACAGGCTCGCTCCTTCCTTCCTTCCTTCCTTCCTTCCTTCCTTCCTTCCTTCCATCCTTCCTTTCTTCTCTCTCACTTCCTTCCTTTCCTTTCTTAAAAAAAGTCCTCTTTCTCTTGGTCATTGCTGGTACTCACTCTAGAGGGATAATTATTTCTCCTCCTCCTTCTTCCTCTTCCTCTTTGTCTTTTTTTGCAGTTCAAGGGTGGCATTTTCTGCTCATATGAGAAGAAATCACTGTTGCTGTTGATGCTCCATGAATTTGCAGCAGCGGCACCTGCCCGGCCATCACAAGCGGGAAACCCACAGCTGCTTGAAGTGTGCAGACAAAGACTAAAACATGAAGAGAGAAAAGGCAGGTGGCTGAGTGGCTGGTGCTTCAGATTTCCAGTTTCATGAGAAACGCAGATGAGACTCTCTCCCCAGAGGCGCGAGGGGGCCACGGAGTCTCGGCTTGGCCTGGTCAGCCGCCAGAGGGTACACAGCTCGCACCGAAGTCAGGTTCCTGCTACCCCTGAGGAGCAGCTCTTAAACGTCTAAGGCTCCGAGGCTCCACCACGCCTCCAGGCCTGGTTGAAATGCAGGTTCCACTCTGAGATTGATGACTTCAGGGGCTCAGAGCCCTTCCTTGAGAACCCCCTAATCAGCTGCGTGAAGTAGTAACCATTGATCACTTCTGCAGTGCTTACTGTGTGCTGGGCTCTGTTCCAAGGGCTTTGCAGAGAGCAGCCCAATTTAGTTGTTTCTTTTTTGGGTGGGGGGAGGGAGGTAACTAGGTTTATTTGAGGGACTGGGGATTGAACCCAGGACCTCGTGCATGCTGAGCATGAGCTCTAGCCACTTTGAACTTTACCCCCCACCCCGCCGGCTTTATCCTTATAGCAATGCCATGAAGTATCTTCCTTGTCATACAGATGTGGAAACTGAGGCTCAGAGAGATTGAGTAGTTTGCCAGAAGTCACATAACCGAAGTGACAGTAAAGGTCCAGCTCTCTGTAAGTCTGGCTTCCAACCCTGTGCTTACTCATAACTAGGCTTGTGGTTGCCAAGCTGTGGTCCCCGGACCAGCATCTTTGGCCTCACCTGGGGATGCACATTCTCAGGCTCCTCCCCACCCCCAAGCATGCTGGCTGGGAAGCTGCGGGTTGATCCTGCAATCTGCGGTTGGACAAATCCTCCGGGTGATACTGGTCCGTGCTCTCCAAGGCAGCCCGGCGGCGCGGCGAAGCAGGGAGCAGGAAATTCATAGAGAGATAGCGGTTTGGGCAGCAGCCGCCTGCAGTTATAAAGTGACAGCGGGGGTGAGGATGGCAGACAAACTGCAGTTTCCCAGGTGGCGGAGAACCATGGAGAACCACTCCCTCCTTGGAGCTATTGACTCAGCATAGGAAGTGGAAGCAAGATGCACTAGTCCCCACCTGTGCTGCCTTGTCCCTGGGCTGTTAGCTGTGGTGGGTGAAGGACAGGCCCAGAAGCCGGGACTGGGGAGAGACTGAGAAGGAGCACAGGGCCAGCCGAGCAGAAAGCCTGAAGCCAAGCAACTTGGAGACACAGGAGGTCTGCAACGGCAAGGAAATCGAACGGAAGAGAACAGGCAGGGCTGCTACCCCAGAGAAGATGCGTTTTAAACTGGAGGCCTCAGATAAAGCCGCTTCCTCCCCTTCTTTTACAGCAGAAATCAGTGAGCGCGTTCCCGGACCTGCATTTGTTACCACGTGTGCGGTGAATGCAAAACAGCGTGCTTGTCGGAGGCTGTCGGGTCGTGGGCAGAGATTAATGGTGGAACTTCTAGGCATCACTTGCCTGGAAGGTGCTTTTTTGCCCTGTCTTCTACTACAGCGCTGCAAGGTAGAAGGCATTTTGTGGAAAGCATTGTTTATGGAAAAATTTCCAAATCTAGGCAATTTCCAAATTTCCTCCATTTCTTAGACCTGTGAAAAGGAGCATTTAGAAACAGAGATAGTGAAGTCTAAGGAACTCGAGCTGCCAAAAAGTGAATTGCTGATCCAGATAGCACTGTTCAGACCGAAGTTTAAATAGTTGCAGACAGTGAGGCTGAGAAGCGTCTGCAAAGACTGATGCTCGGGGAATCCTTGACAATGACTGATCGCGGAGGATGGCCAGGCGCACGTGCTCAGTGTGAACCAGGGCAGATGGGAGACGCCCAAGTGAATGAAGGGGTGGAGGACAGGCGGCCACAATGAGTACCCACTGCACTTCCACCTTGTCTCATTTGTAGGTGTGAGATCAGTGAGATTCAGAGCAGAATCCCTTAGGCGCTGTCAGGGGTACCACCTGCCCGGCGGGCACTGCCATGGCAGGCTTGAAAACCAGCTCTCAGCAGATCCTCTTTGCCGTACGCTGAAATTCACCTAATCATGAAGTATTCCCCACTCTGGACAAACAAAGTAGGTAAGTTCCGATTTATGCGAAAGATAAACCAGGGAGCGTTATGTCTTTGACTTAAGGACTTCTCAGCTTCCAGTGGTGTCATTGTCATATTTGTTTTCATTACAAGCTTTCCAGATGCTACAGAAAAACAGTGGTGGACTAAATTTTAAATGTATCTCACTATTACTGTTGTTATTTCTTATTTAGTCTTCCAATAAAGTATTCTGGTTACTCCCGTTTCGTGGATGAAGTAAGTGAGAAGCAGGGATTAAAAAGTCTTCCAGAAGGAAAGGGCT